AATAAAAGCCTCCATCCATCTTGTTATATTTTGGTGGAGCAGCGTTGGGATTTTTATTCTTTTACCCAAATAAAGTTCCATCTCTTTATATTTTTGGTGGCAAGCGCTGGGATTTCTATTATTCCCAAAAACAATCCCTCCATCCGTTATACCATACAGTCCCAAAAACCCAAAAAACAGATCTGTTTGAAGGATCTAGGGCAGTGTTTCTCAACCTTCCTAATGCAGCGACCCCTTAATACAGTTCCTCATGTTTTGGTGACCCCCTACCATAACATTATTTTCATTGCTACTTCATAACTGTCATTTTGCTATCATTACGAGTCATAATATAAATATCTGATATGCAGGATTTATTTTCCTTCACTGGACCAAATTTGGCATTTGGGAGTTGTAGCTGATTTTGTCATTTGGGAGTTGTAGTTGTTGGGTTTTATAGTTCACCTTCAACCAGCGAGCATTCTAAACTCCAGCAATCATGGAATTGGACCCAACTTGGCACACAGAACTCCCATGATCGACAGAAAATACTAGAAGAACTTTGTGGGCTCCTTCAGTTTTGGAGTTGTAGTTCACCTACATCCAGAGATCACTGTGGACTCAAACAATGATGGATCTGGACCAAACTTGCCATGAATACTCAATATGCCCAAATGTGAACACTGGTAGAGTTTGGGGAGAATAGACCTTGATATTTGGGTGTTGTAGTTGTTGGGATTTATAGTTCACCTACAATCAAAGAGCATTCTGAACCTCACCAATGATAAAATTGGGCCAAACTTCCCATACAGAATTCCCATGTCCAACAGAAAATACTGTTTTCTGAGTGTCTTTGGTGACCCCTCTGACACTCCCTCGCGACCCCTCCAAGGGTCCCGACCCCCAGGTTGAGAAATGCTGATCTAGAGCTTTGAGTGTTAAAGGGAGAACAGAAAAAGAATGGAAGAGAGAATGGAGACAGTCCAGTTCATGTTGCCTCTGGACAACCGATAATACCCTCGACCCAAACAGCAGAGC